TTAGTCAGCCACCGATTGTGCAAGTTCTCCCACTTAAAATGATGACAGAGGTCAGTAATTTACATCAAAGGTACACTTCAACTGTGAGAGACAGAATGTGAAAAAAAATCCATGAATTCACATGGCAGGATTTTTAAAGAATTTATTTGTAAATCAGGGTGGAAAATAAGTATTTGGTCACTTCAAACAAGGAAAATCTCTGGCTCTCACAGACCTGTAACGTCTTCTTTAAGAAGCTTTTCTGTCCTCCACTCGTTACCTGTATTAATGGCACCTGTTTGAACTCATTATCTGTATAAAAGACACCTGTCCACAGCCTCAAACAGTCAGACTCCAAACTCCACTATGGCCAAGACCAAGAAGCTTTCGAAGGACACCAGGAAAAGAATTGTAGACCTGCACCAGACTGGGAAGAGTGAATCTACAATAGGCAAGCAGCTTGGTGTGAAAAAATCAACTGTGGGAGCAATTATCAGAAAATGGAAGACATACAAAACCACTGATAATCTCCCTGGATCTGGGGCTCCACGCAAGATCTCATCCCGTGGGGTCAAAATGATCATGAAAACAGTGAGCAAGAACCCCAGAACCACACGGGGGGACCTGGTGAATGACCTGCAGAGAGCTGGGACCACAGTAACAAAGGTCACCATCAGTAACACACTACAACGGCAGGGAATCAAATCCTGCAGTGCCAGACGTGTTCCGCTGCTGAAGCCAGTGCATGTCCAGGCCCGTCTGAAGTTTGCCAGAGAGCACATGGCTGATAAAGCAGAGGATTGGGAGAATGTCATGTGGTCAGATGAAACCAAAGTAGAACTTTTTGGTATAAACTCAACTCGTCGTGTTTGGAGGAAGAAGAATACTGAGTTGCATCCCAAGAACACCATACCTACTGTGAAGCATGGGGGTGGGAACATCATGCTTTGGGGCTGTTTTTCTGCTAAGGGGACAGGACGACTGATCCGTGCTAAGGACAGAATGAATGGGGCCATGTATCGTGAGATTCTGAGCCAAAACCTCCTTCCATCAGTGAGAGCTTTGAAGATGAAACGTGGCTGGGTCTTCCAACGCGACAATGATCCCAAACACACCGCCCAGGCAACAAAGGAGTGGCTCCGTAAGAAGCATTTGAAAGTCCTGGAGTGGCCTAGCCAGTCTCCAGACCTCAACCCCATAGAAAATCTGTGGAGGGAGTTGAAAGTCAGTGTTGCTTGGCGACAGCCCCAAAACATCACTGCTCTCGAGAAGATCTGCATGGAGGAATGGGCCAAAATACCAGCTACTGTGTGTGCAAACCTGGTAAAGACCTATAGTAATCGTTTGACCTCTGTTATTGCCAACAAAGGTTATGTTACAAAGTATTGAGCTGAATTTTTGTTATTGACCAAATACTTATTTTCCACCCTGATTTACAAATAAATTCTTTAAAAATCCTGCCATGTGAATTCATGGATTTTTTTTCACATTCTGTCTCTCACAGTTGAAGTGTACCTATGATTGAAAATTACTGACCTCTGTCATCATTTTAAGTGGGAGAACTTGCACAATCGGTGGCTGACTAAATACTTTTTTGCCCCACTGTATATATATATATATATATATATACGTATATACATATATACGTATATATATATATACATATATACGTATATATATACATATATACGTATATATATACATATATACGTATATATATACATATATACGTATATATGTATGTATATATACATGTATATATACATATATATATATATATATATATATATATATATATATATATATATATATATATATATATATATATATATATATATATATATATATATATATATATATATGTGTGTGTGTGTGTGTGTATATATATACATTTTAGCAGCACATTGATTGTGAAAGAGAACTGAATTCACTGTAAGCAATATAAATTAAATAAGTCAATAAATCTCTTAATATTGAACTTCAAATATAAAACAAACTCAAAACATTAAAAAAACTGTGTGTTGGGTCCTTTGGGTCCTCTCTTCAGTCTAGTCGTGGTAGCAGTTGGCCACACAGGTGCCAGATTTTATTTTTAATCGGCTTTTAAAAATAATTTCGGCCGATATAGAAAAAATTGAATACATCAACCCGATATATCGGTCGGCCTTAGGGCTGGGCAATAAATCAAAAATTTATCTTTAGCAAAATTTCTGACTCTTATCGAGTAAATTTTTCCCATGTCAATACATTTGATTTTAAAAAATGAAAAGATGTGTGTAGGTTGGCAACGTTCATGTCCCTTTAAGAAGCTGTACCATCTTGAGTCACGTAAAAATGGGACTCAACATAATATACATGACAGCCCCATCTAGTGGACAGCTTTTGTTTCTGCGCATACCTGTAGTTATCGTCCATTTCTCGTTATCGAGATGAAATTCTCAATATATTGTGATATTGATTTTTGGCCATATCGCCATGCCCTAGTCGACCTCTAATGTCATTATCTCAATTTGAGGCAGTATTGTCCAGTCTGACCTGTTTTAATTTAAAATTTACAATTAGTCGTGAGTTAACTATGGAACAAATGTGAATAATTGAGATTAGGTAATTTAGGGAGTGATGGATTAACAGCCCTAGTTGTAAATCTTTGGTATGAGACTCCAAAAGCTTTACTCACGTTCAAACTCCACTTTTTTCCCTCCTGTATCTGTTTGTTTTTTCTTGTTTTTAAATTGAATGTATGAAATCGATGTAATGGAAGCTGGACACAAATTCACACAATATTTCACTGCTGTGCTTTCAGTTTGTTGAAAGTCAAAACATTTTAGAAAAAATGTTGGAACTTGTCACGCAACTACAATAACCACAGAGAAGAAGTGAAAACCTGCTGGATTTTAAACAGGAAGTGCGTCACCACCGTCTTGTGATTCCAACTTAGTAAAAAGAAAAACCCACATGTGCACCACCAGCTTCAAATTTTAAAACCGTGTGACGTGAAAGCTCTGGCTTCAGCGACATGTCTTGAAACGACCACTTCACGTGAAAGCTTTGTGCACGTCTCACCTGCGAGAAATACTGAAAATTGTGTTTGTGTCAGAGTCTCCAGCCAACCGGCTTCCACCTAGGACCACAACTCCCAGCAGCCCCTCGCCAGGATTCCCATCGTTCCCTACCTACGTCACCAACCGCTGGCTATATACAGAAGTCGCCTTCCATCTCAAGAAACAGTCATCGTTTCTTCGAACCCATGACCAGAGTTACCAACCCACCAGTTCTTCCAGCGACCTCTCTTCAACCAGTAAGCGCCCTAGCTTACTTTCGGAATAGCTCTGCGCTTCCGTTTCACTTCGGTCAGCGCTCGGGCATTCCTAGATTAAATCGCGTGCCGGTTCAACCCCAGCGCTCGCTCTCCCGCGTCTGGAAAGTCACGCACGCTACAGCTCAACTCCCACCAGTCGCTTGAGCGTTGTGACAGGTTGATGTGTGACAGCCCTTTCTCAGAACCAGCTCTAATTCACACACCTTGTTTTATGTTCAGCTGCTGGCAAAAGCTGAACTGATAATGACGCAACAAGAATGACTACAGCAGGTAAACTGAAGTGGATTGTTGTCTTGCTGTAGCGTTGGGCCTCCGTTTCACTCAGTCCTCCACCAGCAGCAGAGCGGAGCACAAAGAATGTGCAGGGCAGAGTAATCCGAGGAACAAAACCCGCTCTTTGTTGTCAGGCTTTGGAGCTGAAGTGACAGCGAGCATGAATAAAGGTCAAAGATCACTGGCTCGCTCTGTGGTTGTTTAAGAGACGAGCAAAATGCATGTGTCTGCACCAGGTCTGCACGCACAACTAGCTGTGACAGGCTGCACAACAGGACCCAAATGAAACTGGAAGCTTTGGTCACAGTTAGATTTTACTGTGTTCTCTCTTTAGAGTAAACCCTTCCCCAATTCAAGATCAAAATCTAACAGCACATTGACCTAATTTACCAGAATACCATGAACATATTTCACAGAGCTGAGCGATGTTGCCCATCTCTGCCAACAACACCATTAAGGAATGTTCCTGCTTTGCTTTCTAGTGTCACAAATCTTGTAGCAGAAACAAAAGTATGTCTGTGCGGCAATACCACAACACATTACATTTGCAGCAACCAAGCAAGCTGCTGAAAGTGAGACTCCTCGTGTTTCCACTCACCGTTCACATGCAGCAAGCGTTAAAATCAAAACCAGCCAAGCTGCACCAAAGTAGAAACAAGAACTTTGGATGAAAAATGCTCAGTGAGAGGTATTATAGCTGATGTGGAATGCTCCCTGGGCTACATTCTTTGTAACAGCACCATGGTGATGATGCATCGTGCACGCCTGCACTTGTGCTTGTGTGTTAGCTCTGCGCCTCTGTTGAGGAAATTAAAGGAGCAGGTGGAATGCTGCAGATGTGTCCTGTGGGATTGTGACTGAATCAATAAAACAGCATACACACGGACACACGCGCAGATTATAGTCTGCACATTATCAGACTTCAGGTCACCCCGCGTGTGTACCTTAGGTGGGGTCATCAGGGTTAGTTTGTAGTCAAGAGCTTTCTTTTCCTCATTATGACAAAGCAAAGGGGGTTTTCTGCACTGACTCACTCATCTGCTGCAACGTTTGCATGTCAATAGATAGGACTATGTTTGACTTTCAGTTTCAGGTGACTTGTCTGATGTGCTAGCATGTAACCTGGAGCCTTACCCATGTCTGCCTCCTCTTTTCACACGTTTTTTACTCATGAGTGAAGCTTTTTGATTCTGCACCTAGGTAAAGCCAGGAAACCACAAGCTTACAGATGTAGACAGGCAGCAGGCAAGAACTGTACACAGCCTTTCAACCCAAACATCTAAGTAAGAAGGCTGATGTCTGTTACTGTAACCATGCGTGACATCGCATCATCATATATAATAAATGCTTAGATTATTCAAAAGAAAGCCATCACCTGTATAAAAAACCACCTGCTATTTAAATGGTAAAGTAGCTAATAAACACTCACCTTGGCCGATCTCTTCAGCACTTCACGTGATTCTGAAGTTCAGATCCTGCAGCAGGAAAACTTTTTTTCCAGCTGAATGGTTAAAAAAATAAAATAAAATAAACACCGAAAACGCAGTTTAACGCAGCACTCCGCGGCGGTAACTTGGGATGGAAATGTCTGAGATAAAAGCGAGTCCGGTTGACCAGCGACGGACGACAAAAAGAGCTTAATTGATTGGCAGGTGGGACCGGGCCGATGTGTTCAGAACCAGCTAGAACATCACAAACAGAACGAGAGTAAGGTAAAAGGGTTGAGGAGCGAGACGCGTGTGGGACAAGCGCGACAGAAGACAGAAGCCGTCCGTCTCGGGGAGAACCTGGCTGGCGTGACGAACCACGCCGTTCTTTCAAAATAAAAGCCTGATCATTAAAATCAACGTTTTATGTTGTGTTAAAAGGCAGGAAAAAAATTACCAAAAGAAAATAAATTCCCTTTTGTTTACCGATGACCAAAACACGTTTCTCGTTCTCCGTTTGTTCTAGGCTTGTGAGAAAATAAGAATAAAAACTGCGTCCATTTGTTAAATAAACACTGGTCCTGACATTTATATTCTTCTATGTAAATATTTGTTCATTTGCACTTACTTTCTGTCTCTTGTTTGCTCATATACATGTGATGTTCTGAGCTCTTATTTTGAATCACGACCATTTCCGGTGTGGTGTCATGGCCCATCCTCTTGACGGCTGTCGGAGCAGCAGGGTGTCAGCCAGACAGAGGTGCGACTGGAAACGAGATGCTGGAGGGGATAAGGGAGAGTGGAGCAATCCAGACTCGTTTCAGCTGACTTTTACTTTTCCTCCATGTTCACGTGATGTCTTTGTCATTGACCTGTAGTCCTTTATTACATTAGCCTGTGCCATCACATCTTCTAATTGGATTTAAATGCTGATTAGAAAAGACATTTTCCTTGAAGATCTGTTCTTTGGAGGTCAAATCAAGAGCCTGTAAATGATTCTCCAATGACCCTTAAGTACCCCTCAGGGCACTCCTCCTTGTCTAGACATATCTGTCATCCAGTCAGTGGGTTTATTAATAAAGGAGGGATGTGTCTTTATAGCAACTGTTTGTTATGCTGATGGATGTGGAGGAAGCAGAAACGGTTAACACCTTCTGCTTCAATAACACACGCAGCTGACGGCTGCATAGGTTTCACTTATAACCACCAACAACCTGATCTCAGACATGTTGGACATTTGCAAAAGCAAGACAACCGCACCTGGAAGTGGCTGACAGAAAACCAGTCAGCTTCTGACAGGAATGGAGCGTGGCGTTTAGAAGGAAGGTTGAAATCCAGCCGCCGCCAGCTCCACATAAGATTACTGCCTCCTTCCTTTAAACAGTACGTTCAGACTGTTACTGTAACTGTCCAAACTGCTATGGTTTATTCTCAAAGGAAACAAAAGATGATCACAGGTCTTTTTTGGTTCATGGATTGCACATTTCTGTAAGATGTAAAGGACATTTGATGACTGTCAGATACATTAACTGACATATACATTATGTTGTATGCCAAAAGTGAATATTTGTAGTGATGGCGTTTATTTTTGCAGACTCCAAGTGTTATCAAAAATATTCTGCTCTAAATCCTGACTCAGTCTGACAATTGTTTATTTATTTATTTATTTATTTTTATTTGCATCAAGAACTTTGTAATTCAAGCTCAGCTTTGATTATCTACTAACTTCTAACTGAATAATTGTATTTACTGCAAAACAGACAAAACTAAATAATGATTCATCAAAAACATTTTCTGTCACATTTTTTGAGCAAGCAGAGTAAAATTTTGTTCCACTCTTTTATTGTAGAAAAAGTAAGCTATACTTAATAAGACAAAATAAAACTCAGTAGTGTCTTGTTTGTCTTAGTTTATTAGGATTGTTTGGGTCATGACCTATAATTTTCAGACATGTTTTAAACAATTTTTGTGGCAAAACAGTTTCCTTTAATTAAAGCAGCAGCACAAAAATCTGATTTAATTTGATTATATGGCTATTTTCAAAGGGTATAATATTCCTTGTTATCTCGACCAAAACATAAAAAAAAATTCTTTATTTCAAACCAAATTTGTAATTATTTTCTACAAATAGCAAACAAAGAGACCTGAGACCTGTTTTCACCTGCTTTTGTAGAAGCAGGTTAGATTTATACAGCACGCGTCATTAATTAGAAATCCTGGATGTTTTTTTTTAGTAATAAAGTAAACAAAAAGAGGAACTGAGGGAGAAAAGACAAATAGGGAAGAAGAGGCTCTCTCCAACACCTGGCTGCTCTTCAACGGTCTTTGTGAGTGCAGAAGTGTGTGGTTCTCTGTGTGTGAGTGTGTGTGTGGCTGCAGTAGGGGTTGAATGATAAAGTGGTTCCTCTGTCTGTGATGGCAGGTGTGATGGGAGTCAAACGCTCGGTTACCCGACGAGACACAAAGGCAACAGAAACGCAGAGATGCTGATATCAGATCTGCAGATCTGTCAGTCACAAGCTGACACATGTATATTATTATTATAGAGTTATGTTATGTTATGTTGTTATGTTACGTTATATTATGTTGTTAAGTTATATGATGTTGTTATGTTACGTTATGTTATGTTACATTATGTTAAATTATGTTATGTTACATAATGTAACATTATTTTATGTTGTTATGTTACGTTGCATTATGTTATGTTCTGTTGTTATGTTAAGTTATGTTACATAATCTTATGTTGTTATGTTACATAATGTTATGTTGTTATGTTACATAATGTTATGTTGTTATGTTACGTTGCATTATGTTATGTTCTGTTGTTATGTTAAGTTATGTTACATAATGTTATGTTGTTATGTTACGTTGCATTATGTTATGTTCTGTTGTTATGTTAAGTTATGTTACATAATGTTATGTTCTGTTGTTATGTTAAGTTATGTTACATTATGTTCTGTTGTCATATTACATTATGTTATGTTGTTATGTTACGTTTCATTATGTTATTTTGTTATGTTATGTTACATCATGCTATGTTCTATTGTGATGTAAAGTTATGTTATGTCACATCAAGTTATGTTGTTACGTAATGTTATTATGTTATGCTATGTTATGTTCTATGCTATGCTACGTTGTATTACTATGTTATGTTACTAAGTTATGTTATCTGTTATGTTATGTTATACTAAGTAATGTTATGTTATACTATGCTATGTTATGTTATACTATGTTATGTTATACTATGTTATGTTATACTATGTAATGTTATGTTATACTATGCTATGTTATGTTATACTATGTTATGCTATACTATGTTATGTTATGTTATCATCCATCTCTATGTCGGATCAGAACAGACTGGGTTTCTTAATAGATGAACTATTAAAGGTCTGGCATTCACAGGGTAAGGTGCAGTGTTTGCTCATGCAATAAGTAATTTCCTGTTGTGTTTGGCCACTGAGTGAATGTCTTATGTCAAAGTCTCCAAATAAGGTAAAAAAAAAAAGACAATCTGAACATCAATACTTTGGCAGCTTAACTCTGGTCACAGAGCCTCATTACCTGAATATCAGACTCAGGAAATTAAACTCAGCACTGTGTGTGACCTTCACCACATAAATGTCCCAGCTGCAGCCACTCGAGCAATTGTTTTGAAAATCTGCAAAGCCTGCAAATCTTACAGCAAACATCATATTGAAACCAAAATGTCTGTTTAGAGGATGACATTGCAGTTGTGGTGAAACACTTCTATTCAGCGAGTGAAGATTCCCACGTAACCCGTAGTCTGTTGGGCTCAACTGTAAAACTCTTCCAACCAGGCAAAGGGCTTGTTCAGGCCAGTCTTTTTCTGAACAGATAAACTTGACTTGATGCACTGATTTAAATTTCAATGGGATGTTTTCACAAACAGACGTCTCAGTGTCCTCCTCGCCACAGGCATCACACACGCGCGCACACACACACACACACACACACACACACACACACACACACACACACACACACACGTTTTTCTATACCAGTGGGGTACAAACAGTTTAATTGATGCCTGTTTATGGAGTGAAGGCCAATTATACCGCTAATGGTTGCATAGCTTTCAAATCAGCCTGTGTGCTGTAGTGTTCATTACTACAGGATAAAGCATCTAAAACGAGTCAAATAACTTGTGAGTTATGGGGAAAAAACCTTTAATCAACAAAAGTGGAAGCACCGTTAGAAATAACACGGTCACAGTTAAGAGCAGTCTGACAAGTTTAGAGCATGAGTCTTTAATCACTAGCTTCCTAAAACGGGGTGAGTGATCATGGTTTTGCTCATGTCTGTCTGCATGTGTACACTTCAGTGTGAAGTTAATAAACCAGCTAATGAATTTGAACAAAACTCTCAGAAAGTAATCACTATTGACACGTTTACAACTGATTAACCTCTGGAGAGTCAACCCCATTCAGGCAACTGGTGACAGCAAAAGGACACAAAAGGACAAAAACTTAGTCAGCTTAGCTAAAATGTTGGAAGGTGAGAACCATTTAGACCCAGGAGGAAAAAGTCATGATCACATATTAACTCTTAGCACCACTAGCTTGTGGGGGAGAGACTCACAGCTGCCAACACATTGTTTCTGTCCAACCGAATGAGTTACAGACTCTTTAGTGTAAAGAGGGATGAGTCAGTCACCAGCTTGAATCGTCTTAAATCATTGATTGTAACTTTGCTGCTGGTGCAAACATTTTGTATAAATATGTATTTTATATAACGTCAGAGACCAACTTAATTAAAAGTTTTAAACAATAAACAAATTATTACTTAAGTTTAGGAACATATCGATTTGTAGTTTTTTGGAGTTTTTTCCACCATACCCAAGAATCTGAGCGACCAGTTTATGAACGTTTGATTCAATTTCTAAGAAGGAGGATCAAATGGCTCAGCTCGAAACCGTTTAGGGCAGGCGTGGGGAACCCTGGTGCTCGATGGCCGGTATCGTGCATGTCTTTGCTCCAACGCTTCTGATTCAGTGGTTGATTCACCCGTTCAGCAGCTCATCAGGCTCTGCAGAAGCCTGTTGATCACCTGCTAATTGAAATCTGGTATGTTGAAGCAGGGTTGAAACAAAAATATGCTGGATACCAGCCCTTGATGGACCAGGGTTCCCCACCCCTGGTTTAGGGAAATTCTGTGGAAGGCGACTTTAAAGACCTTAAGAGTAAAGTGTTTTGGTAGAGTCCCCGGAGATACACAAGTATTGGCAAATTATTATCTCAGCCTTCCACTTTCACAGCATAACTTTGTGTCGCATTATTGTGTAGGCTTCATTTATTTTGTCTTCCAGCGATAAACAGCATGCTCAAAGGCACAAGGTGTAACTCTGCTATGTGTGTGTAGGTTAGGGTGAGCTTACACACACACAGGTCAGCCTCCATGCATTATTAAAACACTGTTAAACCAACATCACGCACAGACAATAAAACACACACATGGGTCCTCCTCTGCTAGGCTCTGTTTCCATGGCGATAGCTGCTTGTTCCTCCAGGAGCAGCTGGCGGGCGCAGGCTGCGATGCCGTGGAGCCGGCGAGTGACGTGCTCCTGTATAAGCAGGAGGAACAAAACAAAGAGGAATCCCCAACCCCCCATTCAAAGGCCTGTTCGTTAAGCTACCTGCTTCTGTGTAGACCCAGAAGAGGGCAGAAAGCAGAGCTGCCTGCTGTGCTGGTGTATCGATCCTTACATTGATTGCTACTTTCTAATGAGCGTTCACTCAGGAGTTTTAGTGTCGTTGTGGTGAGACGTTCCAGACAGCAGCTCTGTCCTGTGGAGCATGCTGGGACAGGCCCGGCTGTCTGGTTGGCAGGAACCAGCGGAGTTACGTGTTTGTCTCATAACACGATTACAGACTTTCTACAAGCCAAACATGCAGACCATCATCCCACACTGACTCACTCAGTCGAAGGACTCTCATCTCCCACACCTGCCATCTGCGTACTTTCCCTCCTCAGATTTGATCAGATAAGTATTGCCAGTGTCTGTAAAGCAGCTTTTGAACGCCTTGGTTTCTAATGGTAGAGAATCGTCTCAAGACTCAACGTGCTATGACACTTTATCTTGTTTATCTGAGGATCTCATGATTTAAAATGAAGTTTTCACCTTTCTGGACTTCAGACGTATCTATGAGGTTATGGTGGACATGACTCTGTGGTCAGTCTGGTAATAACTTACAGTGTCTTAACCCTTTCATAAAGCTCATTATCAAAAAGTAAGACATAGAAATACTTTTGCTTGAGTCTGTGTTTAATGAATTAGGTTTAACCAGATTCAATATGTCCCCCAAAACTCAACAAAAATGGCTCTGCTCATTATGAAAGTCACTCACAAAGCTTGAGATGCATACAGATGGTAACAGATCACAAAAGAAATGGACTGTGCATTACATCACTTACAAGGTTTGACCAAAATAGTTCAAACTTCAAAATTTTTCACTAGATGACACTGAAGATTCATTTCAAAATTAGTGTACGAGATGAGACATTGAGGAATTCTAGCTCTCGCCAGTGTCCCGCTTGTTCTCAGCCAACTTTTCTTTTTTATTTATTCCAAGCTGCTCTGCTGTTGTTCTCACCAGTTTCATCGGTGTAGATACAAATCATCATCTAATGCTGTTTGAATGCTTCATCATTCAGCTTCGTAGCGAATTTATAAACTAGCAATATCTGGGTCCGCAAAAACTTTTCATTACAATTGTGTGAATAAGAAACTAAAACGCGGAACCACCGACTTAAATCAGTGGTTCTGAAACGTTTTTCATTTTTGAACCAACTGATATAAGCTTATCTATCTCTAAATCTCACCTGTCAGCACAGGTAAAATACCTGGATGTTTTCAACTGGTTTCTACTGACTGGTTTCTCTGGGGTTTGTTCCACATTAAATAAAACGCTTCATATTCCATAATCAATTTTTATTAAAGAAAGTGGAGAAAATAGGTAAATCAGACGTGTACAATATTCCTGCTACATAGAAACAACACGACGCCAACAGAAAATGGGATTAAATAGATGAAGATGTTCCTGTACTTTGTTACAGTCCTCTTATTTACATACGCTGCAGCTTTACAGCGTTTTGTTGTACCGACACCAGTACATGACTACACCAGCGGTGTGGAAACATAAAATCTCACATCAGATGCTTTCTGTTTAAAAGTTGCAATAGAGCGCCCTCTGGAGGCTTTGCCCATCAAAAGACAGCTGAGGAAAACGAGTAGATAAAACCGAGTCAGAAAGTAGAACTTCACTATTACTCCTGCCTGCAGCTGCTCTCCTGCTAGAACTGCATCTACATTACTTCATCAGGAAGGAGGATTAGGTCATTTCCTCTCCTCCTGCGTTGTTTTAGAGCACACCGTTACCCGTGAAGACATCCTATTCTAGCTGTCTTCAGATTGGAGCATCTTCTCAATCTCTTGGTCCCACTGGTCATCCCTGTTGTCCGTCTCGGTCACAACCTCGTACTCCTGAAGTTCTTGCTGAAGCTCTTTTTCCCAATCTGCTGAATCATCTGGATGGAAGTCGATTGGAAGGTTAGGAGCTAAAATATTCTAAATGCAGGTATTTAACAAAATGACAAGTTCTCTTACAAAATCCAGACACTTTACAGCAAAATTGTTTTAAAATAACCTTCGAATCACGTTAAATAAGTAATGACGAGGCTAACCATCAGGAGAGGAGACACTGTCCTTTTTATCTAGCACCAGCTGCTCCATCTCTTTCCTCAGGTCCTCCTGGTTGATGGCTGTTGAGTCGAACGCGTCGCTGACAAACTCCGACACTCCAGGACTTGTTGAGATTTCTTCTTCTTCCTCATGAGACGGCTGAGGTTTGAACAAACAGGGAAGGGAGAAGTAAACCACTTCAAATGTCTTTACTGATTTTAAAAGTCACCCATAGGACTTCTACCTTCTGCAAGCTGCTGATGGAAACGGGTGGAGTTTTGGGTCTGACATTGTCTACAAAGGAATGAATACACCATCATTAGTTTTCAGGGGTCACTTTGAAGCTTCAGACGTTTCTGTGGCTTCCAATTCCTCCATTACCAAACGGAGAACTGCAAAACACAGATCTATCCTAGATCATCAATAACTTTTATCCAAATTAAAGAGACTTTTATTACAAAAGGACAAAAAAAAGAAATAGATTATTCAAAAGTAAAAGGTTAAATCTAAGTGTTAACATGCTTCTGTGATCTGACCTTTTAGTACAACGTCCTCCGGTGAGACACTGGCCCCGCTGCTCCCGCCGTCCTGCTGCTGCTGCTGAGCTGCCAGTGCCGTCAGCTGAGCCGACTGTTTGATCAGAGACACCCGGTAGAAGTAGTTCCTCCAGAACACCTCCTCCTTCACACTGGCAAACAGAACCGGACATTCATAAAACCATGGAGATGTCATTACTCGTCGAGGGACATTCTCTTCTCCACGGCCCCTCGCTGATGCTTACTCACAGCGGTGGGTTGTGCTGAAGATTCTATCCACCTGATTTTCGGCTTGGCTCACGATGAAACGATGATGCGGCCAACATCCGCCGAGATGGCGGAAGTAGCGCACAGCCACCAGCTTACACGGTGAAGTTTTGTTGCTAGTAGTGGTTTATTTGAACATTTCAACTAGGCTCGGGCGGCGTTACGGTAATACCGTATGCACCCCGTTTTAAAAAAAGAGCTACGGTATCAGTTCCAACACAGTCATGAAAAATAAAATAAAAACACAGTGCACATGAGAGACAGAAAAAACTAAACTAAATAAAAGATGAATGAAAGTCATTTAGTACATAAAACAAATGCGTGGCTGACATTTTTGTTTTCTCTAAATAGTTTAAAATGTTTCTTTCCAACTTTTGTAGACGTTCCATAAAGTTAATGATGTCACCACTTGACAGCGCAGAAGAGAGGCGGGGAGAAAAACGGCTGCGACTCGTGCACCAACTGTCCGGGTGCCTAAAAGGAGCACCACTTGTGCAGTTCGGGAGTATTTCGGGTTTGAAGCGAACGATAAAGGCGAGACGTAAACACTGATGTGGTAATTTGCACAAACAAAAGATGACCGCGAAATATGCTGGTCCTGACGGCACTGGAGCGAGCCGGAGCTGAAACGGCCGCCTTCTATTTGCAGCCTGTTATCAAAAGAGACGGCAATGCACTTCATTGGTGCTGCCGGTCTTAACCAGGTGTCACGACCAGCCTCAAAGAACCCGTGTGTCTGTGCCACGAGCTCATCGAAGCAGGTTTTCAGCACTGAGGCCAAGCAGCTGGCCCACAACGTTCTAGGCTGAAGCCGGTAACGTTAAAGGTGTATTATGTAGAGGTGAAGTAAAAATTACATCCTGTGGTAAAATTTGGTTCCATCAAACACTTTAAACAACTCTGGGGCTTTTTGTCCGCTGTTGTCAAATTACAAATGTCGGTGTTGCGGTATTAGCTCGTAGGAGACACGACAACCCCACACTCACTGACGGTAAACGGTTACATCCCTTCTTCCTTCGTTTTGAAAGGAAATATGTTTCAGTATAACCTTCCTTCCAAAATGACTGAAACTTTAGACTCTTTTTGGATTTTCTCACTGTAATATTCTCCATATATTCTTACATACTGCACCTTTAAACATGCTGGGTTTTCCAGGTGAAAAATCTTTTCATAGGCTACGTTTTTTAAAAAGTTGTTAATATTATGTTGTTATTGTTTTAACGACGTGAGGCCCGCCTCCGCGGCAACCTCACAGAGTACAGGCACCTGAATCGTCATGGCAACATGGCGATGGCCAAGGTAAGGGAGAACTACTGGCAAGCAGAGGCCCGTCATCTAGAGTCATTAGCCATTAGCAACATGAGCCGAGTTTTCATTCTGTAGCGCCAAGCCCGGAATGGCCCACGCATTTAGACAGCTCTGGTGAAAGATGCGGACAGCAATCTTAACAACTGAGGAAGACTGCCTGGAACGCTGGAAAGAGCACTTCAGCCTTCTGCTGCAGCATGGCACCAACTTGGCCAACCCCACCATCTTCGTGGCCACCAACGCTGGAGGCATCGCAGGGGGCTGCAGCGTTGGTGGCCACGAAGATGGTGGGGTCGGCCAACACTCATAACACCTGAGGAAGTCAGAGCAGCTCCGAAAAAACTTCACTGGAAAGCCCCCGGCATCTGAGCAATAACCGCCGAAATGTTGAAATCAGGCAGTGACGGCATTGTTGAGTGTTTTGTCCACACATTCAGTCAGGCGTGGGAAACTGAGAGGACCTGAGGGGTTATGCTATACTTCTGGAAGGGGGACCTCCTGACCTGCAGCAACCCCAGAGACATTACACTTCTCTCCATCCCCGGCAAACTTTTCACCAGGATTATGCTCACCCGTGACCTGCCAGCTATCAGGTGCAGTCGCCACCCCCGGCAGGCTGTCTTTGTGCCCGACGAGCCACTACAGACCACATCTCTGCCGTTCGCCTACTGATAGAGGTGAAATATGAATTCCGTAAAGGCCGACACCTCGATACCGGGTTTATTGATCTGAAGGCTGCGTTTGACACAGTCTTCCACACCTCACTGTGGAGTTTCCTACAAGCACTTGGAGCACCACCCAAGAGCGTTGCCCTGTTCAAACTTCTCTACAGCAACGCACAGAGCTGCATCCACTCTGACTGGTTTTCCATCTCCAGTGGTGCCCAGCAGGACTTCTACTGCCTTTTCGACCATCTGATGTGCAAGGTCTGTGAACGGATCTTCGGAGTGAACCGTAGGCAGCTACCACCAGACTGACCTGGCGTATGCCGACGACACCATCTTGCTCAGCACATCCCACAGCGAACTGAGTGATGCTCTGGTTATCTACAGGGAAGAGGCAGGGAAGCCTGGCCTCCAAGTGAGTTTGTTGTACAAACAATCAGAGGATTTTAAATCTGAGCGATGCTTAGAGCATGCATTTTGGAGGAAGAGAGAGAGTGTGGCTGCCAGCGTTGGTTTACCCCACCCCCTCTCCAGAGATGAGGAACCCAGAAGGATGTGGCTGAAAAATCTTAACTTGAAAACCACCAAAAACTTTGTTTGTGCATTTCTTTCATTTTATTGTGAAAATACCCATACAGGAACACCTGCATCCTACTTTGTTGTTAGATATGACAAACCTCCAGAGACGAGAAGCTGGGTAGCAAACAGACATGACAGCAGCCTCACAACAACAACAACAGGTATGATTTCATGTGGACAATTTTCTGAGTAATAACGTAACGTGTGTTCAGACCACCAGCTTTAACCTAAGTTCCAAAACTTCGGCAAGGACATCGCAAAATAGTCAACGATGCAGCTTTATATTGTATCTGATACCCGGCTGGAGCATACACACACTCCACTTATTACTATGTAGATACTGCTGAGCCTCTAAGCTTTGAAGATTGTTTATTGCCTCACCATCTGACACAACAGAGTTCAGCAAAGATCTAGAAAAGTTACAGTATGTTATCTCTGCTGCCCCTGTCTCAGAAGTGGTTCCCACATTCTGCTCACACACACACACACACACACACACACACACACACACACACACACACACACACACACACACACACACACACACACACACACACACACACACACACACACACACACACACACACACACACACACACACACACACACACACACACACACACACACACGATGTAGAAAGACCACTTACTGCTTAGGAACCAGGTCAAAGCGCATGCGGTTGAGGAGCTGGTCCTCCTCCAGCATGACTGCAGCCAGAGGATACATCTGCTCCATGTCAAAGTGGAACTGAACACCTGCTGGAGGGTCCCGCAGGAAGTTCCTCTTGTCCTACAATCAGCACCCAGAGAGGTCAGTGTCTGCACAAACAGCTGGTTAGAGACACCACTGTAGTAGGATGGTGCTGCTTACAGCGGACAGAGCGAGGATCTGCTGCTGGATCGTCTCTTCCTCGTTGTAGCCGACCCATGGAGGCACTGCTGCTTCTACACAAACACGTTGACACACTCTTATCTCTCTTTTACACACACACACACGCCTAGTTCTTCTAAAAGGACATGTTACGATAAGAGCGGATGGAGCCACATAACTTCAGCTGATTCTCAGGACCACAACGAAGAGTTAAGGTGAGACTCAGACGTCCTCTTTCAGGTCTAACCTGCTAATAGAAGCTAATGGAGCATTGGGGCAAAATAATAACAGTATCTTACTTGAAACTAGTCTAATAATCTATCAAATATTCTATCAGCATTTCTGTACAATTATTGATCCAACATAGTCTCCCCCCCCCCCAACAAAAGGGGACAATAATAAAACTAGAAACATGGGCTGCTATCAATTAGCCAAACAGTCACTCTAATGTACGAGTCTGTTTATAAACTGGTACTGATGACTCCATGGAGAACAGCGAGTCACTTCCAGTCATTCAGACCTCCTTCTGGAACAATAATTCTCCAGGATTTCAAAGGATCTTCATTTTCTTTAGACTTCACCTAATATTGTGGCTGTATATTTGTGAAATGTCTTTTTTTTCCTTTCCGTTTCTTCAACACAGACATGCAAATCATTCGGGCATCCAAGACAGCTAAACTTAAGGGATGAGCCACCGTCCTGTTGACAGCAAAGATTCAGGGCTTCTCAGCAGAAGCCCGTCACAAAGACACGATTTGTTCTCAGTTCATTAGATTTGTGAAAAGAGTCAAAAATCCCAATTTCACAAAAAGTAGGTTGTAACTCCAGGAAGGCGTTTCTAAACGATCAGTTAGCTCAAGCCCTCACACAGAATAAATGATCTGCTCCTGTTTATGTTTTTCCTAAAGTCAAGAATTTTATACACAGTCATTTAAAACAGATTTAAACTTTGTGAACCTTTTATATTTTTCTACCTCCTATCAGCAAGTGTTAAAGTACTAATTAACTTGTGTGTGAGCTCATTTTAAGTGACTCAATCCATCTATTCGGCTTTTTCTCATGTATTTTCAAACATTTTCATTAGATGGTCATTTTCATCTAGCGAGGACTTTGACCCTAACACACAGGGTCACCAGGGCTTTCTGTGACCTGAAAATGCCACCTAATGGTGACACACCTGTGATTACGTCACATCTGGCTTTACCTGACTTTTTGGCTTTCTTCTCTTGAACAAACTTCTCTTGTTCCTTCTGGAACTCCCCTAGAATAGTCTGCAAAGACACACAAACACGTAATCAGTCATCTAACTTATACAGCAGATAACACGAAATCCTGCCCTAAAGGGCTCAAAAACGTGGCCAGCAATCCCGCCATGCCTTGTCTATGATGCCGTCGATCTTTCCTTGTTCTACTGTCTTCTTGATGTTCTGAGCAGTCTCCACCACAGAATCAGAGAGCTTCTTGGTGGCGTTGGAGGCAAAGCTGAAGATGTAGTCTTTAAACAGGAGAGGAGATAAAAACAGAAACGTTTATTTAAACAAGAAGCAAACAGCAGATTTTAAACTCAGCTGACTTGGCTGAAAACAACAAATGGAGAAACCTTTAGTTCGGGTTTAAGATGATATAATAAACGCTACCTTCTGAAAAAAAGCGTTAAACTTCTCTAAAGACATTTACTAATCAATAGAGTAGCGAGACATAGTTTGTTCCTCACCACCAAATCCTTTGTTCTGCTGAGTGTTTGTCTGCGTTGTCTCTGCCTCCCCATCCTGGTCAGCTGGTTGCTGTTTGTTTACGTCGTTCTGGGCTTCCACCACCTTTTCCTCCTGCTCCGCTCTCAGGTTCTCCTCCGACGTCTTCTCCAGACCCAACCACGTCCCGAATCCTTTGAACATGCTGGTTCACAAATTTAAACTCGTCAGAGAAGAGGTGACGACAGAATATATCACACTAAACAGTGCGAGGATTATTTTATGCAACCAGGAAGTAAAGGGGCAGGGTTTCTTCTTCTGTTTAATGATTTGTCAGAGCTGAATTATACTACCACCTAGTGGCCACAGAGCAAAAAATGAGCTTGTTCTTGTTCGTTTACTGTGATTTTTTAACAATTAATTATTGTTGCATAAATATTCAAGAAAATTACATCAAAAATAATTAGATAATGACGATATTTTTAAGGACTTTTGATTAAATCTATCTCAACGTCATGATCTCGTTCTAGTAATGCATCGAAACAACCAGCAGGCGGCAGTAGCGAGCAGAAATGTGTTGTACATATTTACAGCCGCTGTTTCCGTCGGGCTCGTGACAGACAGACCGGTAATAATTTATATTTTAATATTCTGATTTGTGTAAAGTAACTAACTATGAATTCGGCCTTAGAAACACGTGTACTCAATGCTGAGTCCTCTCTACCCAAATTTGGCATTTTGCATTCGTTTTTAATCCGGAAGATTAGGCTGGACAAGCTACGCCAAACTCCTGCTTAAAATAATACTATTAGCTTTTAAAAACATACTATTGTTATGATAATTTAAGCAAAAATCAGATCATATTAACAACGCAGCCGTGGTTGAATCGGCATATTAAAATAAGCAGTTATAGAAAATGAAAGTGCTTACAGTTCAGCCACTAAACCTGTTTTACTCCTTGATGATGATGATTATTTCACTTTATTTGTGTGTCTTTATTCAAAACCACATTTTTTCCAGGTGAAAACATGAAGCATCTGATGGTGTTTGATTTTGACCACACTGTGGTTGATGACAACTGTGACATCTGGGTGATCCAGTATGTAATAAACATCAGACGTTATCCAAATATCATCGTAGATAGGAAAGTGTAGTAGGGTGACCATTTATCCTTTTATTAATCTCACTTTTTTCCTGTTTTCAGGTCCCTTCCGAACCAAAATCTTCCAAACTCTGTGAAGTGTTCCTACAGAAAGGGCCACTGGACGGATTACATGTGCAGAGTGATGCAGTACATCGGTTAGAGTTCATTATGATATTTTATTGTGTTTTGTTTCTTCCTTCCTGCTCAGCCATCAGCTGTGATCCTTTTTTCATGAATTCAAACAGGAGACCAGGGGGTCAGTCCTGACAGGGTACGAGCTGTGATGGAGACCATCCCCCTCACCGCTGGAATGATAGACTTGCTGACATTTATATCAGAGAATAAAAACACAGTTGACTGCATTGTCATCTCTGATGCCAACTCCTTGTTTATAGAATGGGTCCTGACAGCGGCGGGACTTCAGTCAGCTGTGGACCAGGTTTTCAGCAACCCGGCTAGGTTTAACGAGTCTGGCTGGATGGAGGTGCAGCACTACCATTCTCACGACTGCAACAAATGTCCTGTCAACCTCTGCAAGAGGAAAGTCCTGGAGCTCTACCTTTCAGAGAAAACGGCTGGTGGCACAGATTACGAGCGGATCTTTTATGTGGGAGACGGTGGGAACGATTTCTGCCCTACGTCCTGCCTGAGGGAGAATGATGTGGTCATGCCCAGGTTGGGGTTCACTCTGGAGAAACTGCTAGCCAGGGCGACAACTCAGGAGGGTAGCCCCTCCGTTAGAGCTAATGTTGTTGTCTGGAGCAGTGGCTCCAAGATCCTCCAGGAGCTAAAAGCAAGTATGAAGTCGTAGGAGCGATAGGACTTACTCAGGGTACGATGACTATATTCATAAATATAAAATAAATATATAAAAACGAGCCAGTACGGATTATTTTAGTTATTTATGTTTCCTTTAATGGTAAAAATAACTAGTGTAGATTATAAAAAGTATTCTACCAACATTTGTACATGTAATTGAAGCATATATTTTAGAGAGCAATTGTATTTTTTTACAGACTTCTAAAGAGGGATTTTTAACCTTTACATGAGCCTTGTTATCTGGGTGTTGGGAATGAGTCTGAGCTGTAACCCGGGCTTTCCACTGGATGAGTGAGCGGTGCGTAACGTAATAGATGTAACGTAATAGATGTAACGTAATAGATGTGTTTTCACCGGAACCTCAGCGGCGGGGCCATTCCTATTGGGAGCGTTTCAGACCTGCAGCGTCTGCAGATGTATTTCACACAGGTGGTCCGTGAAGTTATGGAACTACAAGATCACGGGTGATTTCGCCAGTTCGCGCGATAACAAGCAAGGAGAAAGACTGCAGCATGTATCCAAATGGTCTGTAGTTTATTTTCTCTTCTACCTCCACCAAGGAGGTGTCACAGGTAGGCTAATTACATATTTTATTATAGTTAAACAGCAACTCTGCACATGCCTTATTTTGAAAATTGCCCGAGGCTTTATGGTGCATAAATTTAGTGGAACAGTGTGGTACAACATTACTGGAACACATCAAGCCTTGCTTATGCTTCTGCGTCTGTACGGAGACACGCAACGCCATTATCTGTCCTTTCGAGCCTGCTGGAGAGCCCTCGCAAGAACAGACGGAGTCGAGCTCTCTTTTCTAAACGTCCGTCGAACGAGACGGAGAACGCAAGCTTGTGATTGGTCAGGACATCACTTTAGTCAACAGCATCATATTGTGCCATCAAAAACAGATATCTAGCAGCAGACACGGAGAAGCTTGAAGAATAGCTCTCGGAAAAACAAAAAAATATGAGTGTTTATTCACCCGTGACTGGAGAGGCAAAAAAATAGACAGCAAGCATTTTATTCGTGGATGGAAATGACGGGAAACGGGTTTAGAGGTGGCGAGCCGTTGAGGAGAATGAGGGTCAAATTTGCGTTAAAAAGTCTCTGAAATACAAAAACCACAATATAAACACCATAGTAAATGCACTATCTTGGACCGGATACATGACAGGATACCCCAGAACAGCGCTACGCCCTCTGTTGTCCTGGCGGGGAACTGCTTAGCAACACTCCCCAGGAGAAGGAGAAGTCTGAAGGCAAAACGCTTCCACCAATCCTTACGTGTCTCTCCCTTGTAGAGCTGACGCAGAAGCATAAACCAAGCTAAGGAGGTGCACCGCTGCACCCCCGATGGAGAGCCAAGGCAACGCAAACTGATCTCAACAACTGTAGCCTAGAATTAGAAACCGCTCTGACGGTTTATTAACATTTCTGAATTTGGTAATTACCAAAGCAAGTAAAGAAAGTCAGGCCATTCCTGAATGAAATCGAGTAGCCTGATCTTTTATGGAAGAAATGACCCGCTGCAGAGTCCCTCAGCATCTTGAACTTGTTTGAAGTTACAGTCCTCTGGTTGCTTAATAAAAATGACAATTGTAAGTAACTGATCAATTTAAACTGACTACACTCATATGATTAGTGTTTACATCAGTTGGACTTAAATGCACAGCATCACCCACATGTACCACTGTGGTGTACGCAAACATGTTTTATTTATATTAATGCAAATTACATCCACGCATCTTCTTGCTTTACATGTTGCACTTGATGCTTTTTACAGCAGATATTTAGATGATTTGCAACAGTGAAAGCAGCAGTGTTGCTGTTGCTATTAGCAAAAGAAGAGTTTAGAGCTGAGCTTTGTTTTCTACATCATTCATATTCATGCACTTCAGCAGCTAAACATACATTAGGATGTAGCCCAGAGGAAGAGTTTGAAACCGGAGGCTACGTCCTGCATTTGAATGTTTTCATTTATTTAGCATCGTTTGACCCACAGGTCAAATTAGATCTGAAACAATTCAGATACCTTCCTGGTTGTGGTGTGGTCTGCTATGTAAATATGCCATTATGTCATGAGTCAAAGTTTACCATCAGTTCCAACACTTTTTTACCGTTCAGCTGTTTCAGTCTTTCTCACACTAACCTGGTTGGGTGAAGGGTTCTCAGTTTCTAACCTGATCGGAACCACAATATAACTGTGTATTTACTGTCAGTTGACACATGCATGAACCTGAATCATGCTGAAGCCATCTGAAAAACTATAAATGTGTGTTGGAGTTTAGCGTGTGCTACTTGCTAGCAACATGGATGCTTTTATCCCTTAGAGCTGCTGATGACTTTGAACAATTAGTTTTGAAAGGGTGGAATGATTTTACAACAAACAGCTTTAAAAACAAAAATTCAACTCACAAATGTGTATTGCTTTTATTTTCTCTTCTGAGATGGTGACAGAGGAGGTAATTGCCTGCCCCGTAACTGGAGGGTCCCAGGTTCGCGCCCTGGTCAGTTTGTCGCAGTCGTCACCTTCTCATTTAATTTTGGCCGGACTGATGACTACACTCCTTGGGAAAGTTGTCCTGACTTTTAAACTATTCAGCTGATTTGAGGTGAATTAAAGGGGTTTTAAGGTATTCTTTGTTGTCATTCCATTCACTTTGTACACCAGTACCAGAGCATGATGCTACCACCACCATGCTTCACAGTGTTTAATCTGTGTCTCATCTGATCATGACACCTTTCTTCAGAATGCATTTGGCATGTTTACGATGGCTGAGCTGGAAAATCAAACCGGGCTGACGGTAAAACTATAGATCAGTCCAGTGGGCTTGAACCTTGGTGGTCAAAGTTGTTTTTTTATGCTGGCTGGGAGAAACTATAGCTAAAGTTATCCTCGGTTATTAGTGAGCAAGTCACCCCCTACCAGAGTCTTACTCCACTCATACTTCCTGTATGGAAAATACAACAAATTCTGTTGCCTGGCAGAGAGAGAGGAGCTACAAACAAACAAACACACACAGGCTCACAACGACATTGTGACATCACAGTGTACCAGCTAATGTCATAGTGTACCTCTTAGCCAATAGCAATGGCAGGTTTAAATTCTAATGTAGTGCAGGGCTTTTACATGAAGATGGCACAACACTGACAGTTTTAGACAGACTATTGAAATTTTAACTCAGATGCACTAAGGTGCCAAACTATTTACTACATGTGTCTACAGCACGATTAGACACGCGTTTATATAGTTTATCAGCCAAAAAAAAAGTTGATGTGGGGGTGACTTGCTCTTTAATAACAAGACAATAAGCCAGGTTTAAAGACTTAGGACCTTTAACACCACTTATTAAAAGATTTAGGTGAAAGCACATTTTAATCTGAGCTTGTGTACATAAACCCGAACCTGTGTAGAAAATAACTTGTGAACCCAGTTCTTATTCGTAAAAAATATGTTGTTTTATAATCGTTCTACCAGGAATGAGGAATGGTTTACATCAGGCATTGTGGCCATGACAGAAAGTTACCGTTCTCCATGTTTCAATGTCAGAGGACTCCTCGTGCAAACTGCGTTGCATGTTTCTCATCAGATCTGCCCTTTAGAGAAGATGTGCTTAATTATATGTATAACTTTTTAAACTTTTACATGTGTGAGTTTCTACAATCTATGTTTCCATTTCACAGTTTTCTTCACTGGAACAGGATTTCATGGTGGATGTTTGGCTTTGGCTCACTGAGTGAGTTTTGTTGTTAATGTCTCGAATGAAAAAGATGAAATATTGTTGTTAAAAATATGTAATCCTGTTGGTGCCATTAAATTCAGCGTTCTTGAGCTCCCACGTTGTTGTGTTTTTTGAGTGAGCAGATAAAATCGATCCTTTCCTTTTCATCTGAGACACCTGGAAGATAACATGGGAGTCCGTTTTTCAGATTATAAAATGATTGTGATTGGATTTTATCTTCTTGTTTGACTCAGTGAGATGAAACTAATATCATTATGGGTCAATTGTTGATCAGTTCTCATGTGCAACAGTTTCATCAATCCACCCAAATCCACTCTTTTATACTTATCCTGGCCCATTTGACGCTAATCTTCAAGATCTGACAGCATTTTCTTCCCGTGTGTTTATGCTGTGGTTTGGGCTGTGTCAGGACATCGCTATAGAGGAGTGCTGTTACGGCTGCTGCCTCTTTGCCCTCCTCCTCTCTCCTACCTGCACAGCTGACCCACACACCAAATCACCACCTGAGCACTTAAATGGCAGAGATGCCAGAAGAACAGAGAGGCACAGATCTGTGCTGCTACTCTGAAATGCTTCATGTTTGCTTTACTGACTTGTATTGTTTTAAATTTAGGAGCTTGAGTGAGCTCTGTTTGGGAAAATGTTGAAAAATGAAAAGGAACCAAGTGTCACGATTTGCGGATGGTTTGGACCCAAAACGCAGAACCCAGGATGACAAGAGGCAGAAGGTGGTTCAAAGTAAAATCCTTTTATTTTAGGACAAAGAACAAAAGTAATCCGAGGTAGCGAGCCAAAGTCCAAAACGTCCTGGAGAGCAGGAACACCCAAAGTAAACCTAAAACAACCGTGGCTGCAGGAAAAGTTTGCTTGGGTGCACATGAATTAATTAATGTTGAGGAATTTAAGTATTTGGGAGTGCGATTAGACTCTAAATTAACTTTTAAAAAACATATTAGTAAAGTAGTGAAAACTGTTAATGTTAATATACGGAACTTTAGATATATCCGTACGTCATTAACAGACACAGCAGCGATTACATTCCTGCATTCTATGATACTGGCTCATATTGAATATTGCATTACCAGTTGGTCCTATACGAGCTCGGCTGCTATTGGGCCAATTGAAGTATGCTACAAAAGAGCATTGAAAATATTAGATAAAAAACCTCTCTCATATCACCACTGTCAAATTTTAGATAAATACAAGTTTTTAAATTTTACTAATTTTAAATTATTTAAATCAGCCTGTTTAATATATAAAGTTATACATGGTCTGGCGCCACTACCAATGAGTGATTTTAT